TGATGCATGGAATTTTAAAGCACCAAGAAACAATTCCCAACTTTAAAAGATAGGAATAAATGTAAATATTGTTTTGAAATATGTAATAAACACAAATGAAAGCACAATAATTTGCAAGCACTATTATCCAAGGTGATATATTACTTGGATGTTTTCATTAGTACCAAACCAGTAAATTACTTGCTGCTTTGTGTGAAACTTCAGCAAGTCTTTATAAAATGTATTATACAAGGCTGTGATTCCTAATATGTAATCGAAAATCCTTCAGTTGTTGTTTACAAGGATTATTTTCTTTAGTCCTTTTTTTAGGAGACAAGGTAACACTATGGAGTACACACTTACCTCGAACTCGGTTGTGTATCCCAGTCTGGCCGTAAACTCATGGCAATACTCCCGCCTCAGCCTCATGAGTGCTGGCATTGCAGGCATGAGGCATCTGGCCTGGTTTACTTCATCTTTTTAAGAACAAGCAATCTTTGTTTTACACTTCACTGTTGCATATAATTGCAAAAAAGCAAATCATTTTATTTCAACTATTTCATAGGGAAAGATGAATTAGATTTTTATTTAATGAATAGTAATTTCTTTACGTAATGTTTTTTTCCATAAAAAAGTCATATAATCATAAGAGCTAAAAGTAATGAATAGGGGCCGGGAAGATGACTGAGTAGAATAAGTGCTTCCCTGGCAAGCACAGGGCCTGAGTTCAATCCCCAGTTTCATTTTTTAAAAAAGGAATGAATAAGCCAACTATGCAATACATAGTTATGCTTCCTACTTTCAGTGTGAAACTTAATTTTATAGGGAAGGAATTTTTTTTTAAATTATCAATGAAACCATATTTGTTTCAAACATAGTTTGAAATTTGTTTTAGAGCTTTATGCCTTCCTATTTTTTTCTAAGAAAGGAACTTCTGGATCTGTTGTTTTTTGCATTTTTCCACTCAATAAGCTAATGTCATAGATACAGAGATATTAAATGATAGGTATTCAATTTAGTATTAGATCCATATTTTAGAGGCTTGCGAGATAGCTCAGCGGTCTAAAGCACCTGCTCAGGCAAGCTTAGGCAGGCACAGGGCCTGCACTTTTGATCCCAGCACCACTTGCTGCACCAGCCCCACCCCCAGGGTGGGCTGAGTTGGCAGAGCCTGGGAGTGGTGGCGTCCACTTCTATTCTCAGCACTGGGGAGGCTGAAAGCAGGAAGATCACCAGAAGTCCAAGCTGCATAGTGAGACCCTGTAACAACCAAATACATTTTTTTAAAAATCAAATATTTTAATTAGAAATCCTGCAATATTTAAATGATAAACACAATTTTGTATGTATGGATTATTTTGTTAAGTGCATAAACTATTATAATTTCTTAATCTGTAACTTTATAAAAAATTACCACAAATTATTACTTTTAATGTTTGTGTTCTTGTCCTGATAAATTCTTCTAGTCTCTCCTTTAATATTTTAAAGAAGAGATAAGCTTTCCATGCAGAATTTATAGGAATGATGAAAGACCAATTTAATCTGGCTGTGGAAAAAATGAAAATATATTACACTCTAGAGAAAAGGAAACATGAAAAGCTTGTTTGATAAGGACAGGAACTGTTACTGTTGAATTAAGGCAATTACATAATTATTATATTATGGCAATTATATAATTAAATATTGTGCTAATTATACAATTAAATTTGTTATGTTAATTACATAATTGCATAATACTTTGAATTACTTAAAAGCAAGGTTTTATTTCCTTGCAGTCCCATCTGCTTAGGTGGTAGAATGCAATGTGAGCTCTCAACTATAGAAAGATATCTTTAAATTTATGACTGCAAAACACGTCTGGATTTTATTTATCTATAATAGCTGCTGCTGGAGATACAAACCTGTACGCTCTCTCATGTTATGTAACTCTTTTGACTTCAGGTAGAAATATGTGGTTATATTTACCCAGCACTAATGAACAGAAGCGGCGTGTGTCGCTTTCAAAACAATTAGGAATCTTCACTTTTCTCCTCCCCGCTCTGCCGGTCTGAAACCTCATGATTCGGTGACAGACGGCAGCCAGCCCGTCCCCTTGAGTGATTGAGGGAACAGATCTCCAATTTTCGGTTTCACTGAACTGTGTTAGAAGTGAGCAAAACCTGTTATGTTTTGGGAGATAAAACTACTGTTATTTTACGTATATTATTGTTGCAGTACAATCAGACCTAAGCTGCATCCTGTAAGCCAACATTAAAAGTCAGTGCCCCTTCCTTGCATTTCTTTCATCTCTGCTTGCCTGATCAATACTGTCATAGAATATTTATATGGGCCAAGGGAAAAAGAAAGGAATTAAACACATTTTATAAGCTCTTCCACTGGAGTTATATACAGGAATTTTTTTTTTTGTTTGTTTCCTAAACTGTTGGATTGTGGAATTGAAAATATAATATCCTTATGTGAATTATTTACTCTCTTGTAGTTTGAATAAAGAAGGTATTCAAATTTCTATTGAACACACTTTGAGGTTATTAGTTTTTAAGAGACTCTTAGAAAGTGAAACATTCAGGACAAAATAGCCTAAGTAAAAATATAGGTAATGTACTTAACGGGCTAACAAAGGGAAAAGAGTTTTCTGAGTATGTCTCTGAACACTGCATTTCCTCCTGAGGTATACTGCATTGCTCTATAGATTTTAGAAAGGTGATGGTGTGATCACTCCTGACATTCAGATGGAAACAGGTATTTTCCTACCCATTGAAGCATGAAATATAAAGTATATATCAGCAGATTCTTTGAGCATATATTCACAGGAACAAGCCTATTTGAAAAGAGGAAAAAAAATAAACAGAAAAGTAAAGACTTATCTGTCAGCAATATCATCAAGGGCTAAAATCAATTAGGAATGAAAGAGTGTATCTATTTCCAATTTCAAGAGTTGTGGTGATGGTAAAGTATCAACATATAGCAGAAAAAAAATTCCTAAAATTTTGACAGACATAAAAAGATGTTTATTTGTATATACTATTTTTAAATATAGCAGTATTTCTTTTTTCTCTAATCTTTAACCTGAAATATGCTTGTGAAAATTAATTTATAATTTAATTTTGAAATATTATTATCCTACTACCAGATGTAGAAAAGATATTATCCAGAGATATAAAGGCTTACGGCTATATTTGATGAGACTTCAAGTTATTTCCTTTGGTTAAAAGAAATGTGTACAAAGCTTAATTAGTTGTATGGAGCATAACTACATTATGTACATTAGGACCAATATTAGACTAACCGTGTGATGGCAGGTATTACCGCCGTGGGCACTGGCTACCTGTGAGTACACTGGAGAAAATGGCTTACATAAACAAATGCAAATACACTCTTGTCTTTTTTTTTAAGGAATACAAAATAGTGTTCAAAAAAAAGCATTAGAAATAATACCAGATTTCACTAAACAAAGTAATTGGAATTCAACAATGTTTGCTGTATTCCATGATGCTATCTTCAAATTAATGGCTCAGATTACCAGATATCAATGTGTAAGATTTATTTAAATGAAACAACAAAACAAAACAATAAACAAGTTTTAAGAAATTCAGATTAGGAAAAAAAATCAAAGTAGAAAAGAAAATAGTGGACGTATCTGAGGCGGCTGACAGACGACAGGCTGGTCCGGAGCGGTGTCTCCAAGCGCAACCATGAAGTTGAAGGACACAAAATCGAAGCAAAAGCTACCACATCATAACAAATTTCAAACAAAAGGCATTAAAGTTGTGGGAAAATGGAAGCAGGTGCAGATTGACCCGAATATGTTTGCAGATGGACAAATGGATGACTTAGTGTGCTTTGAGGAACTGACAGATTACCGGTTGGTCTCCCCTGCCAAGAATCCCTCCAGTCTCTTTTCAGAGGATCCCAAGAAGCAAAAGGCACAAATAGTTTCAGAAGAGGAAGAAGGAGAGTCTAGCTCCCCAAAGAAAAAGATCAGATTGAAGAAGAATAAAGATATGGTGCTGGTTACTGAAGAAACCTCCACCCAGAAAGAGCTTGAGGTTGAAGATGGTGAACCAAAGCCCCAGGGCAGTGATGTCACTGTTTGTCCTGGTCCAGAGGAAAGGAAGATAGTATCAGAAACCCTGGTACAGACTGTTCCAAAAAAGAAGAAAAACAAGGGGGAAAAAAAATCAGAGCCTTCTCAAAACACTGCCCCTAAGGTGCCAAAAAAAGCTAAGACATGGATGCCTGAAGTACATGACCAGAAAGCAGATGTATCAGCCTGGAAGGACTTGTTTGTGCCCAAGCCAGTTCTCCAAGCACTCAGCTTTCTCGGTTTCTCTGCACCTACACCAATCCAAGCCCTGACCTTGGTGCCCGCCATTCGTGACAGGTTGGACATCCTTGGGGCTGCCGAGACAGGAAGTGGGAAGACCCTTGCCTTTGCCATCCCAATGATTCATGCAGTGTTGCAGTGGCAGAAGAAGAAGACCTTGCCCACCCCAAGTAACACCGGACTGCCACTTGGAGAAGCTGGATCACCAAGTAAGGCTGGAACTGAGTCTGGAGTGTTGCCTGATGATGAGACTGCAGTTGAGACTGTAGCACTCCCCAGTGATGCTGAGTCTAAGGCCAGAGCCAAAACAGTTGCCCCCATCTCAGACCAGCCGTTGCCCTGTGATGATGATGCTGGTGAAGGGCCCTCTCTGATGGAAGAGAAGCCTGTCCCCAAACTGATGGAGGATGGAGAAGAAATGCTTGATGGAGAACATATGGGCGAGTTCAAACAAGAGTTGGATAGCAAAACTGCTCTCTGTAAAACACATCCAGGGCGTCCTCTGCTTGGACTGGTGCTGACTCCTACACGAGAGCTGGCCATCCAGGTCAAACAGCATATTGATGCTGTGGCCAGGTTTACAGGGATTAAAACTGCTATTTTGGTTGGTGGAATGTCTACACAGAAACAGCAGAGGATGTTGAACCGTCATCCTGAGATTGTGATTGCCACGCCAGGACGGCTCTGGGAGCTTGTTAAAGAAAAGCACCCTCATTTAAGCAACCTTCGGCAGCTCAGGTGCCTGGTAGTGGATGAGGCAGACCGGATGGTTGAGAAAGGCCATTATGCTGAGTTGTCACAGCTGCTGGAGATGCTGAATGGCTCCCAGTACAACCCAAAGAGACAGACACTTGTTTTTTCTGCTACCCTGACCCTGGTACATCAAGTTCCTGCTCGACTTCTTCATAAGAAGCATGTTAAAAAAAATGGACAAAACTGCCAAACTTGACCTCCTCATGCAGAAGATTGGCATGAGGGGCAAGCCTAAAGTCATTGATCTCACAAGGAATGAGGGCACAGTAGAGTCGCTGACAGAGACCAAGATCCATTGTGAGACAGAGGAGAAAGACTTTTACCTGTATTACTTCCTGATGCAGTACCCAGGCCGCAGTTTAGTGTTTGCCAACAGCATCTCCTGCATCAAACGCCTCTCCGGACTCCTCAAAGTCCTAGATATCATGCCGTTGACGCTCCATGCCTGCATGCACCAGAAGCAGAGGCTCAGGAACCTGGAGCAGTTTGCCCGACTCGAAGATTGTGTTCTCTTGGCAACGGATGTGGCAGCCCGAGGTCTGGATATTCCTAAAGTGCAGCATGTCATCCATTACCAGGTCCCTCGAACCTCGGAGATTTACATCCACCGAAGTGGTCGGACTGCTCGTGCCACCAGTGAAGGCCTCAGCCTGATGCTCATTGGGCCTGAGGATGTAGTCAACTTTAAAAAGATTTACAAGACCCTGAAGAAAGATGAGGACATCCCACTCTTCCCTGTGCAGACAAAGTACATGGATATAGTCAAGGAGCGAATCCGCCTAGCTCGACAGATTGAGAAAGCTGAGTACCGGAACTTCCAGGCTTGTCTGCATAACTCTTGGATTGAGCAGGCAGCAGCTGCCCTCGAGATTGAACTAGAAGAAGATATGTATAAAGGAGGAAAAGTAGACCAGCAAGAAGAGCGTCGGCGACAGAAGCAGATGAAGGTCCTGAAGAGAGAGCTGCACCATCTGCTTTCCCAGCCATTGTTCAAGGACCACCTCAAAACCAGGTACCCCACTCAGTCCGGCAGGCCTCCTCTGCCCATGGCTGCCCCGAGGAATGGCGAGTCTGCATTGAGCTGCCTCTCCAGACAGAAGAAGAAACCCAGACGACAGCAGCAGCAGGGACCACCGCAGCCAAGTACAAGTGCACTGTGATGGCTGCAGTCAGCTGCAGTGGCGCCTGCACGGTGCTGTCAGTTCTCTGCTGATCTGTGAATCTCTCACTCCACCACTCTCATTAAGAAAATCTGCTCTTCCACCCTGTAGCAGGAGAGACCCCATGCAGATTTGTGTTGTGCAGTAAGAATTCTATGCAGTACCTTCCTCTTCGTATTCCAGAGTTTGCAGGCTTCTTGTGTGTTCAGCTTGTTCTCTTGAATTAAAAACAATGGTCAGAAAAAAAAAAAAAAGAAAGAAAATAGTTAAACTGGGTGTGGTGGTGCACACCTGTAATCTCAGCCCTGGGGGGACTGATACAGAAGGATTAAGATGAGTCTGAGCTTCATAGTGAGACCCTGTACCAAATAAATAAGTAAGTAACTAAGGAAAGCAAGCAAGCAAGAAAGACATGCATACATAACTAAAGATTTTTAAAATTTGAAAATATTTAAGTACTAACTGCTCCTTTCAAAGACCAGCAGAAATCAACAATACAATTATTCAAACTATCCTACATATATACCTAAATATACTTCCCCCACTTGTTTTGTCTTTTTCCTCATCCCAGTTTTTCCTTCCATCAAACAATTTCTTAGCATTTCACCATCAAGAAAACAGGTTAGGGTTCAGGTCAGCAAGGCTCCCCAGAGTGTGAGGGAGCTTTGGCGAGCCAGCCCCGGCCTCCCACACTCTGGAGGGCCTCCTTGTTGACCTGCACCCTACCCTTTTTTCTTGATCATAGAAGGCAAGATCTCTGGACAACTGCCAAGTGATTCAGTGTGTGTGGCAGTGCCGAGAAGTCAGTTGTCGTACTGCAGTTGGAGGTAGACCAAAGGAAGCCCTTGATGGAGACAGTGCTCACTAGGACACCCAACAATTCCTTTCCATGTTCTCTGTCACTTTATCTTCCTGAGTTTTCCAGGTTTATCTATACAGAATCCAACTGATTCTATTAGCTACTTATAGTCTTGTTCATTAGCCCCAAGAATTATGATTCTCTATAATTTACATCATTATTACTATAATAATGTATTATTATTTAAATTCCATAAATGATTCAATTTAATATATAATTTTTCCTCATTGATCAGATGTAAAACAGTATCAATTCCTTGAGAATATAAATAACATTCCTATAGTAACTTAGTGTTTGCTTTCTTTCTAAATTTATTCATTTATTTTTATTTTAAAGAGAATAAAAATAATAGATAAAACATTTGAAATGATACACAGTTTCAAAAAAACCATGATGTTTGAGCCATGGAACTCAAAAAATTAACATGGCTGGGTATGGTGTCAAAGGTCTATAATCTCAGATCTCAGGAGGCTGAGGCAGGATGACCACTGTGAGGTTGAGGCTGGCTGAGTCTAAGTAGTGAGTTCAAAACCCATATGAACTACATAAGGAGTCCCTGTCTCAAATACAAACAAACAAAAAATGAGCATGATATGGATAAAGTGAATGTTCTGTGCCTCTTGTGCAGTAATAATATTGAATGAATTACCATTTCATGCCTATAAGAAAGAATTGTTATTTTACCTGAGAAAAAAAGCATGATTTGTTTATTAAAGTCTCCATTTATTCCAGTGTTAGTTTGAATCCCAATAATAGAAAGAAACAGGAAATATAGCCTGCAAAGTAATTGTGTTACCAAAAGAGCTTCAGAACATTAGGACAAAGATAATTAAGACTTGCATGTTACTCTCTTTCTGTCTTTTTTTCTATTTGTTTTTGCTTCTGTTTCTGTTCTTCAAAATAAAATAAAATAAAATTTTAAAGAAAGACTTAACAGTAGGGCATAAATGCCTCTGAACTGCTTGGAGTAATATTCACAGCCATGAAAATGTTTCAGGGCTTGTAGCAGTCCATTCTGCATGTGGAACATGAATCTGTGAGCATATGTTGATCATATAACATTGGCTTTTTTATTTGTATTAGTTGCAGTACGGCAATATGTTGAAAATCTTCATGCAATATAAGTATATTCTAGAGGCCAAATTTTATTACCTCTATAATATTTTCTTAAAGTTTTATTCATTTTATTAGAGACCCCGCAATGGACCTCAGTCTCCTGCCAGCTGTTATGCTACACTGAGAAGAAAGAGCAGGAGACAAAATAGCGGTGCAGCAGGGATCTGGGATGACCAATGGCCCACCCAGCACACGAGGGTATGAGGCACCCAGCACGTTGGTTTTCATTGATCACATTCCCACTGGGAAAAATGGCAGCTTGATGCACTGAACCAGTGGCTGGGCAGACCAGGCTTGCAACACGGAGCAAAGCATTCTGGGAAAGGGGCAAAAACAGCCAGATTTAGGTTATGGTTAAAAGAGTAACCTGATTGGTAGCCAATTCTGGGAAGGAAATTTTCCTCTGGAGTCATGTGGGCTGTAGCAGAAACATTATTTCACATGTGCTTCCCGAAGACACGTACACAGCCTCTGCCAGATGCGCTCCATAAGCTGAAAGCCAGTTTAGGCAAAGCACCTGTGCTGCTTCCGCATAACCAGAGTCATAGCTGGGCCCAGGGAGGGCGAGGTGGCGCTGCTCCCTGGTTTTGCTCGTTTCAGTTTTTTGACTTTTTCTTTTTAGATAATTTACAGTATGTACCAATATCTTGATCTTTATTTGTGCAAGAATGATAAAATACTCTTTGTGTCATGTTTTATTGATTTGACTAGAGCTTTCAGAAGAGTATTAATACTTCTAAGAGCCAGCGTTATACTACGCTTTTAAAAATTCAAATTCCATTTAAACTTATGGGTAAAATATACCAAAGAAAGTTATTGTTTACTCCGTAAAAATTGCAGATGACACTCTTGCTTTTATTTCAGGGAAAGCTATAAGGAATAGGGAAGAAAATGAGAATTCATCGTGACAAACCACATTTTACATTAAGTTAACTGTTCTAAATTTTATAAATATATTATTATAAATATCCTATAACTTTTAAGAAATAAAATTTAAAAATATTTTCTTACTCAGTTTCTTGTGATGGAAGTGAAGGTATCCATACATAAAATAAATTAAGTCATTTATTGATCTCACATAAATTGATTTTGTAATAATTTCAACAAGGGTTTTAAACTCAGGAAGAAGATTGGATGGACAATATCTTACTAGGTGCTGATATGACTTGTATTTAGATGTTACACCAAAAATCAAGCTCATCTGTAAGGAACTGTGGAGGTGTCTGGATGATGGGTGTGTGACACTGGATTAGCCCCCTGATTGACTCATAGTTCTGAGGGTGGGTGTTGGGTTTATGAGGGAAGGCCTGCCCCGTGTGTGGGTGGTGCTAAACAATAGTCTTGTAGCACAGTTGGAATGAAAAGGGAAAAGAAAAAGAAAGCTGCTGGTTCCTGCTGCCGTTCCATGAACTGTTTCCTCTCTATCCTGCCACCCCACTTTGGAGCCAACCTACTAGAAACTGAAATCTTTATGAAGTGTGAGATCAGTAACCATTTCTTCACCGGGTGTATCACTGAGAAAAGTATCAGGTAGTTTTTCATAGTAAATTGGAAATTGTATATTGTATTTTCCCAAGCTGGTAATGGAGCATAAATAGTCCAGACATAACAGCTTAAAACAAGGCAGAAATTGAGAGACATAAAAGATTTCAAATAAAATTACTCTGAATTTCACTTCTCTTAAAATTTTACTCAACACTAGGTATGTAAGATAAACAGGGGCCGGCCAGATAGTTTAGCAGATTAAAGCAGCTGCTTAGGGAAATACAGGGGCTGGGAATTGGATCCATGGCACGCTGTGCCAGCCCCGCCCTGGGGCACACTGAGATGGCAATTGAGTGGTGGCAAGTGCCTGTCATACCAGCACTTGGGAGGCTGACAAACAAGAAG